CTATTTATCTCATGTCTCCTTTCTCTAATTATCTTTTCTAACATCTCCATAACTCTTCCTCTTGCCTACATCAAATTATTTAAATCAGACCAATCCTAGTGTAATTTTAATTCTGATATTTCAAAGTGGGGTTGACATTAGTAAATTACCATGATGCCCTTGCGAAATCTAGTCCAAGGTAAATTGAGAGGAAAAGCAAGCATGGCTTCACAAACAAAGCCCACATCCTTTTGCAATGAACCCACTTCTTCTTCGTCTTCTAGACTTATTAAAATCTTACACATTGCTTTGAATGTTATCTGCACACCATCACCACATTACTCATATACATGGAAATTATAACAAAATTAAGATTTACGTTTACAAGAAAATTAAGCGTAAATCTTAATTTTGACTTAAGTCAAAAGTGAAAATTTATATTTGACTTAAGTAAACCTTTGTTTTTCATATTCTAGTAAGTTTTCTATTTTAGCACATGAGAAGAATAATGTAAGAAATGGCCATGGTCCATTTATTAATAGGCCCAATACTATTCAGGCCATTACGTAGCGTGTGAAACAAACCTGGAGCAAATCTGTGAGCAAGACGACCGTACCACGATGTTCCCATCCACTAAGAGCGTCCACGACGAGTTCATCAAAGTGTCTAACCATCAGAGCCGTCGATTTTTTAGAGAACAAGTTGATCAAACGGCTACGAAGAATCTTGTGATGGTGTTGAGAAGCACATAGAAGGCTACCATCACCTACAAGCTCAGCTATGGACTTTATGTACCGTTTCGTGAACATTCCTGACTCGTTGTTCAGTACCGCCCGAGCTGACTCAGTTGTCGACAGGAACACGTGCGTCTCTCGGAACAATCTTGTCCTAAAGCAACTTCCGTACCTATCATAAAACATAAAAAAATACCATAAGTAGGAAATGAAACAGAAACCTTCTAGATGGTCCAGAAGCTTTGAGGGCTTACCTGATACGGCGAGTACGGACGAATTCGTAGAAGCCTTTGCCGCTATTGACGGAAAGCATGAACTGAAGTGTTTCTCCGATCACCGGAAAACCATGGCTTCCCGGAGGTATATCAGCCGTTGATTTCTCATGATTTTGGCTCATGATTTTGAGTAGTTTCCGGAGTGTTAGTATCCCCG